CTCTTGATTATGGTGGCCGCTCCTCCATTTGGGCGGGGGCCGCGAACGAGTTACGCCACACTTTCGGAACATTCCGGAATTTCCATTGTTATATTTGGGGGAATAGTAGGTATGATGGTAGAGATTCTTCGTATCCTTTTCGTAAAATGTTTTATTGTTTTTGCTTGACAATGTCACACGTGTAATCGCAGGCTCAAGTTTATTCATCTCTTCACAGGGCTGCACGAAAGAAAACGGGAGCTCTTGCTTTCCTTCAGAAGCCACTGGCACAAATTCATAATATTCATTTTTGCTTATTTCAAAAGAAAATGAATAAATTTTAATTATTTATATTATTTGAACCGGCTTTGATAGGATAGTGATTGTCATGCTGGGCTACTGATTCTAAGTTCGCAAGTCCGGTCAAAGTCGCGGGGGGGGGGGGATTTTTGAGGTACTATAGGCACGGGCAATTTCCTTTGACTCCGCTCTCAATTCCCCTTAAAATCCAGAAAGGGGTGCACATGCGCAAGCTGGAGCGGCGCGAGGTGGTGAATAGTGGCTCCATTAAAAAAAATATGTTTGCCAGATTTTTTCTACCCCAAAACCGAGAACTGTCTTTTGTTTACACTCTTCACGACTTATTACTATTTGATGTTTATTTCTTACTAAATTCTTCCTTGTACTATGTACATCTTTACTAAATATCAGAAATATGTTTGAATGGCAAATTCGTTCCTTGTTTTCGTTTCGTGATGTGTTATTAAATCATTGAGTTATTTATTTAGCAATAATGTGAAATAAATTAACAATTCTTGCTTACGAATAGACGGCAATTTTAAATGACAAGAATATTTATCAGTTAAACCTTCTATCGTGAACGTAGAAAGTTTTTGCTTTTGCTTTTATATCGCTCTTAGGTAAACAGGATTGAATAAACAAGATACTTTTGATTTTTTTTTTAAATTTTACTCACAATGAAGAATTAGAATTGTGACTGATGTATTATTTCATTTTTAAAAAATATTTTTTTAATGAAACCAGTTGCACTTTTTTAATGCAACCAGTTGCACTGCAACTTTGCTTTACAGAGAAAATACGAATTAATGTAACAAAATGTCAGGAAATAACCGTTAACTGACTTCTCGTAAAGACTGTCATAGGCCAATTATCCAGGGGCGTGCCGCCACTCCGAAGGTATCACGCCAGTTCCGCCGAAATCGCGCCGAAATCTCGCGCCAGTTTCTCGGGTCGCAGTGCCCGCGAGCTCTAGTGAGCTTGTTATCTTGCCCGCGACCTTGCCATGCCTGGCCTATGTCCAGACGTGGAGGAGGAGGAGGAGACTGGGAGAGCGCCTCCACGTTGTGCCGAGCCAGGTTCTCCCCCACAAGGCTCGCGTTGCCGTGGAGTACCTTCCAGGACAGGCGATGGCCGGCGGATGCGGTCGCTCAAAGACTCCGATGCAGACAACCGAAATCACGATCTGTACACAAAGTCACCTCAACAAACTCTTTCTTGTCGACGCAACTTGTGCCGCTCGACCACACTCGATCTCCCCACGCCAGTCTCCCCAGAAGCCCAGAGTTCCATCGCGGGATGACGTAGTTCTACGCGAAATCGAATCGCCTCGCGCTGTCCCGGCGAGGTGTTCATGCGAGTGCGGGACGAAGCCGATGACGCGCGATCTGCACTTCGCGAAAGGGTGGAACGAAATCCGCCGGTGCTGAGGCCTTCGAGGCAGCGCCCACCGCCTTGCGCCGTGAAAATTCACTTGGAGTACTTTTGGGATTAACTTTGTGTGACGCAAATGTTACATAATACTTTGTGCACATAAATTAACGATTACCAAATACACTCCACATTTTTTAAAAAAAATGGATGACTTGTTATTGATGTCTTAATCAAAATTACATTCAGTGCAAGCTATTGCCAAATGCAAGTAGTAATAGATGTAACGATTCCATTCATATGTTTCATGTGCTCCAAATGTTTACTGTAAATAACTATAATTTATTAATTCTTTAACCGGCTTCGTTGGCTTAGGGTATCAATTCATGTCACTGCAGTCACTGCAGTGCCTCTGACAGGGAACCGCGATAAAAACATTTACTACACTTACGAGACTATTCACCTTAACATTTGGCGCGCCCGTAATCACTATTCAATCAGTAAATCTACATTAGATGTTATTCTTTTCACGTTTATTTTTTTGTACAATGAATGTTTTAACTTACAATACTGACTATATTTACAATACTTACAAAAATACTTTAATAACAGGCAACATTAAGTCGACCGGATTCTGTACCTATAAGTTTATAACCAGTGTTTGAATTCTGGCGGAATGCGACGGAATGGTGTTTCGTTACCTCGGGAACAAAATAGAAAAAATCGAACAAACTAAAAGCAGAGTACAAAAGCTTGGCTATTTCGATTTTTAGTTCGACCAAATTTCGTAAACTGAAAATTAAATAATTTTCCACAATTATATCACTTCTACGAATTAAAGAAAATTATTAATTTGTCTGTCTGTCTGTCCCTGGCGCGACAGCCCGCGTCAGGCCAGGGTACCCAGCGGACGTACCAGCACTGTCCTGGCTCACGGCCATGGGCTAAGTTCGCACGAAGGCTTCTTCACGCTCTATTCTGGTCTTCGCAACTTGAGAAGTGAGTTTTCTCATCGTCACGCAGCAACATTTACTAGAACATTGCACGGAAAACGCACACTATAATCTTGCCCATCTGGGAATCGAATCCGGGGCTGCGTCATGGAAAGTGAGCACCTGGCAATGAACTAAACTGGGGGCAAAATTGTTAGTAAATACGATTAAATATCATTTTAAACTATATTATTATTATTATTATCACATAGAGCAAGTACTGTTACTAATTGTTATTAAGTATGATTTATAATTATTAATTTTATTGATTTTAGGTTCTTAATAAAAATATCAATAAAATTAAGAAGTTAAAGACGCTAATATAACTTATATTTACTTCTATTATATTATATTATAAATATCTTTCTATAAAATTAATTATTAATTTCGGGCGCGTTTCGGGACCTTAAATTTTGTAAATGAAGCATTGCCTTTATCCCTCTCCTCAGGAAAATCATGGCGCTACTGATCTTATTTGAAGCCCTGAAACCTACAGAAGAAATATATAATTCAATATGTGAAGGAAATACAATACAAACTCGTTTCAATATTGTACTATCAATTTGCCGTTTAATTACATGACCATTTTATTGTCCTCATGTTTTATTTGGTAATATTGAATTGCATTTTTTTCCCTTGTGCTCAAATTGTTCTGGGCTGTCGCGCAACAAAAACCTTGCGAATTCGAAACTCGTTTTTAATTAATCTGTGTATTTAAGAGTTCGGGTTTAAAATGTTCTTTAAGAATTTTTCATTCAGTGAAAGGTGTAGGTACCCCAGTTGCTCTAATTAAATAGTATAACGCGCGAAGATCAATGTGTGTCACTTTTGTAGTTTTTTTTATTAGTCCCGCTCTACACAATCACACTTTTCAGGGCCCTCATTAATAATTATTTACAAACATTTCTTGCGTACGGGTCACGTGATATGTTTGAAAACCAGTGATGAAACTGACTTGCAATGGCTTTCTATCTGCTCGTACCACAATGCACAGATTTCGTCTCATTGCCAATTAGAAATGCGTGTATTTTTATGTGCATTAAATAGTTAATTTTTTTCATGTTGTATGAATATTGACAAAAAAGGCAACAACAAAATTATTTTAGGAACCAGAAGAGAGGAGAAAGCGCATGAAAACGTTTGCACCAGGCACCAGTCCCCCATATTACAAAAGTTTAGTAATACCACTACAAACGTTCTTTAACTACAATGGATGTAGGCAAAGATAAAACAAAAATATTGCTATGTAGGGTAGGTCTCGCTAGAAAAACTAGATAAAAAGAGTGTCTTTAATTCTTATTTATATTGTACAGGTAATTGTAATAAGATAAAGCCTTTGAGCTGCGATCTTGATTTATACAAACTCGCTTCCAGAGAGAAGATTGAGAAGCGACTTTTGAAATGTTCTCAAGTCAATCTCAAGTTACCAAGATCGCTTGTCAATAAGATCCAAATGTAATTAGGAATCGTTTTCCACTTGCTAATTCAATAAATGTGTTCCAGTGCAAGTGTCTGATTATGAGTAGTTAGTTCATCGTGAAACAAAAGCTCTGCCCGTGCCATGGGATATCCGCGCGACCTGCAATATCTTTACGTCGTCTCCTCTTCCCTTGCCCTCCCGAGTGGCAGCCGCCTCAGGGCGAGGCAATAACACAAGGGTAGCAGAAACAATTAGAATAGCGCTTAAATAATGTTGACAAGCGAATTCTTAACGCACCTCATTTTTTAAATGCTTATGTTTATTGGGAGTTTCGGTGTTGTAAGTGATAACATTGTAATATATTTTTTGTATACCAGCATTAAAAACGACCTTTTCTGTTGCAAGAAATCCTTCGTAATCGGGCATTTTACAGAACAAATGTTGACGAATAAGATCTCACGGCACGAATATTTGCGTCATCACACATTCAGCCAATCGTAGCGAGGGAATCGCGGGCAGGTAGAGATAAACGGAACAGCCGACCTCAGTTTTCTCGCACAGATGTCAAAAGCCCAACATGTCATAAAGTTGTTTCGCGAAATTAATTTTGATTCTCTTACAAATGTATATTGATGATATACAAAAAACTCGTTTATAATGTTGCTTTATTGCATCCGTGCAAATTTGAAAACTCTCTCCTAACGTCGCTCGTTTTCAAAACATGGACTCATTCAATAAAGTTTAACATTATAAACTAATTGCATGAACTACTATAAAGAAATGAAAAGTAATCCAAAACTTAAATATCATCCTTAATTAAAATTCATCCTTATATTGTGGAAATGCGTTAAAATCGAGTATGGGTTGCAAGATGGAAAATTATTTTCATCACAGAAAAGGGTGAAGTCGTTAGAGATTCATTTTTTCATTCATTTGTAGGGATCGCGCGGGCTGAAACAAGTGACGTCTCCGAGGCACCATTTTCCCGTCGTTCTCGCCGGCCAGTGTGGCTGTTCCTTGTGGTGAGGACGGTTGTCCACTTGCGTCGGAATGTTTTCTCGATGATGGATTCAGTGATGGAAGGTTATGGCATTTCTGTTCCTGTACATGTCATTACTCCGTTCCGTGGAAGCTGTGCAGAAAAAGGTATTTAGCAATGTAGAAAGCCAACTCAATAGAAACTTTACTATGTTGAATAAATGTACTTTTCGGTACATGTACACATAAAGCGTGTATAGCGTGTATAACGAAGAAATATTTAACTTTTTTTACTTCGAAAGCGTTTAGATTTATGTAATCATTTCCATTGTTATTTGCCGTTTTCCGTAAAGTCAATCATGAAAAATTTAACCATTAACATACTCCTAAAAATGTTGCATTTAAATTACAGCGTTGTGAACAATCATTATAAGGCATAGAATTGAATATTCGAAAAATACTTCAAATATAAAACTCTGGATTATTGATAAAACATTACGAATTTGAATAACTTGCTGGGAGTAGACAATATAAAGTGTTTCTTGAAAAATTGAAGCTGTCAATCTAGATTCGATCATATAATCGCTAGAGCGACAACCACCGCCCTCGATTGGATTGCGCAGATTTTATTTTTCCCAATGACGTCTTTGCCTGACATCCCTTCCCTGAGCAGTTGTTACAGCCAAGGTCACGACCAATTAAAGATTTGTGAGGCGCGAAAATGTTTTTGGTGAATATATAATAAGTACATTCTCATTTGTTCAGAAAGTATTCTGGTTTGTAATAGTAATATGAGACGATAGCTTTTTATTGGGATCTATACTTCAAAGTAAATATTATTATTGTAATTTTTATTGCCATTGTTTTTAATATATTAATGTTTAGTCACATTGTTATTATTGTGTTTGTCCGAGTTTTATTCCGGAAGCGGAAGGGCGTTGTGTCGTTCTTCACCCAATGCGACGAATGCTCACATTGTAGCAGTTGACGCCCTAGCGCGAACGACTGACCTCGAGGACACCAAGGGCGAGGGTAGCCATTGGGCGACATTTGAAAAAGGAGGGGAAACGAGCAGAAAATTTACAAATCAACGAATCTTAAATAGCGATCAATTCTAATTGATTTCAGAACCACGTATGTTTGTGCGTTAGGATCCGGGATGCAATCTGGAGATCGAGACCAGAATAAGGAATTCGGCGTATAGTTCTGGGCCATCCTAATGCGTTGAACTCAAAACAATTAAAACGGCTTTAGTCTCACTGTTGCGTTACACGAGGTGAATTTAACGAGCCCCAATAACATCAAAGTGGCGTGGCCTGGTTTGCAGATTAGAGGATCGCTCCAACTTTCCCTCGTGCGGTGGCCGGGAGATGCGTTAAATTGATATT